GCGCTTTCAGCTCCAGAGTCGCTAAATGAGACTCGAACCGAGCGTGTGACCCCACCAATGGATTCCTTGTTCGAAGAGCAATCCATTGGTGGGGTCACACGTTCGGTTCGAGTCCCATTTAGCGACGCTGGAGCTCAAAACGCGTCTAGAGTTTTGGCCGCCTCCGCCGGTCTTCTGGCCCACTGTGCGGCAGCGCCCGGCCCAGTCTGGCCTGCCACGTGCTGTGCTGGCTGTGCTGGCTGGACCGTCGTCTTCGCATGGAACTTGATTAGACCGCGGCGCTGGCGGCGCTGCGGGGCGTCTGCAATATTCGAGGCAATATTGAAAAGCTAGAACGGCTACGGTGGCCGGAGTGGCAAGAGCCCGAAAAGAGAGGCCGGAGTGGCTAGAGAGGTCGGAGTGGCTGGAGAGGCCGGAGTGGCTAGAGAGGTCGGAGTGGCTGGAGAGGTCGGAGTGGCTAGAGAGGCCGGAGTGGCTGGAGAGGTCGGAGTGGCTGGAGAGATTGGAGTTGCTAGAGAGGTCAAAGTGGCTAGAGAGGTCAAAGTGGCTAGAGAGGCCGGAGTAGGCAGAGAGGCCAAAGTGGCTGGAGAGGCCAGAGTGGCTAGAGAGGTCGGAGCGAGGCTAGCGAAGAAAGAGAGCTTAGAGAAGCTAGAGAGGGAAGCTAGAGATGGAGTGGATAGAGAGACCGCAGAGAGGCTAGAGAGAATAGAGAGACTAGAGAGGCCAAAGAGGACGACAAGAGAGACGAGAGGGAAGGGAGGCTGGAGATGGAGTGGCTAGAGAGACCGTAGAGAGGCGGGAGTGGCTGGTGAATGGTGAAGCCCCTCGCGGCCGGGCCCGGGCCCACCCGAGGGGGAGGCTATTGGCCGGCGGTGGCGCGCCACGGCGCCACGACCCCCGCGAAGCTTGGCGGCCCAAATTGGGGTCACAACGCCGCGCGCGACGCCGCGTCCCTTCCCTCTGCGGCCCCACCCCCTTCCCGACCCACCCGGTTGTCCGGTTCATCACGCCCGTCGCAAACACGGTGGCGCCGCGCCGCCCGCGTGTCTGCACCGCGGCCCGGGCCGGCCAGGGTCCGGGGGAGGTGAAGAAGCGGTAGGCGGTGGTGTCGGTGTTTGGGATGCTGGTGGCCGTCCGCGCATATTACCCGCCGGCGGGGCAAACAACACACATGGACGCACCCGTACCGTGGGAGCTGATTGCACAGCATTGCACAGCCTCCCCGTCTCGCCCCCTCGCCGTCTGCCGTCTCTCGTCTCTCTCGCACACGCGGGACGCAAAGCGACGCAAAGTCGCGAAACAGGACTCGGACCGCGCGTGTGACCCCACCAATGGATTGCTCTCGGAACGAGGAATCCATTGGTGGGGTCACACGCGCGGTTCGAGTCCCATTTAGCGACTCTGGAGCTCGAAACACGTCCGGGGATTTTGGCCGCCTCCACCGGTCTTCTGGCAAATCCGCTGCGCGGCCGCGGCCTCGGTGTCGGCAGTGCAGTGCGGCGGCCCTGGCTGCGTGTGTCGTGCGTGCCGCGGGGCGACTCGGCTTGGGGACCTTACGCTGTACTGCCAGGCTCTGCCAGGCCCTGCCAGTGTCGCTGCTGGCCTGGCATTCCGCGCCGTACTCCCTGCCCCGCCCCGAAGTGCCGAGTGCCCAAAGGGGCCTGCAGGGCCTGCAGGGCGTACGTGCCGCCATGGTGCAGCAGCGGACTCATTCCGAGAGTCGCTCTCTCTCCCTCGCACCGATACGGGACGCTCCATGAGTGCGAGAGAGACGGCGACGAAAATGACTCACGGAATGAGTCTGCAAAGGCGACGCGTTGCACTCCACTGCACCGGGATAAAACGGGCGGCCCAGTCAGCGAGGCGCTGGGCTGGAGTGCGGACGATGCGCCGTGCGCTTCGTAACCCGAAGAACACGAAACGCTCACAGTGACGTCATTTGGATGTCAATTTGACGAATTTTAGTCAAAATTTCGACTTTAAAAAAGCATTATTTTGACGTCATTTTGATGTCATTTCGACGCCCCTTGACTGTTTCGTGAGTGTTTCGTGTTGTTCTTTGGCACGCCGCGCCCAATCCAGGGTTGTCATTGGTCGGTGGGTCACCGGCTTGGGGCACTCTGGAAATCCATTGGTCCGCGTGGAGTCTGTAAACTCGTCACTTCCAAGTGCGAAGGCTGCAAAGTCCACACCTCCGCATTCCAAGTGCGGCGTTCTCCACCCTCGGTTTCGCAGTGTAGGCATCCTCGTCGCTGACGGCCGTTTTTGGCAGGAATGGTCGCCAAAGTGTGGCAATGCGTGGCGTCTTTGTCTCCCCTCCTTTTCCCTCCGCGGACGTTTCCGCGCGTCCTTCCTTTTTCTGTGTTTCGCGGCTCGGACCCCTCGGACCCCTTGGACCGCGCCACGCTAATCACTGGCCGCCTGTCTCCCTCGCTCTCCCGCGGCACGCCTGACTCGCCTGGCGAGTGCGAGGGAGACGAACCGCACACTGTTGCGCTCCGAGGTGTCGCCGCGGCTTTGGAGCGGCGCGTTCGTGTCGCGTGCACTGTGCGCCGCGGGCGCCGCGGGCCTCACTAAGTGCATGCACTTGGACACCGCGACGCGACGCCCGGTAGGCCTCGCTGTCGCCAAACACGTCCGGCCAGAGCACGCACACACACACATACATGCACTCACACTCACACTCACACTCACAATGCACTCACACTCACACACATCTACACTCACATGCACTCACTCACTCACACACATCTGCACTCACATGCACTCACAATGCACTCACACTCACACACATCTACACTCACATGCACTCACTCACTCACACACATCTGCACTCACATGCACTCACACACATCTGCACTCACATGCACTCACATGCACTCACACACACACACATCTGCATGCACCCACATGCGCGCGCGCGCGCGCGCGCGCACACACACACACACACACACACACACACACACACACACACACACACACACACACATACGCGCACTCGCACGCACGCTCGCACACACTCACACCTACACTCGCACCGACACACGCCTACACTCACACACTCACACAGCAAGCGCCCCCCTTCCCCCACACGATTAATGAACAAGGCTGTGCGCCTTAGTGCCTGTCGGTTGCGCGTTCGCACCTCCACATGGCGGCGGCGGCGTCGCTCTGTGGGCCAGGAGGCCGCAAGTCTGGACACGAATACTTGGCGGAAGAGTTGAGACGGAAGTGCGGTGGTACAGATTCAGTTTCAGTCAGTTGCCTCTCCAAAACGTAGTTAGTCGGTGTATTTTTCTAATTTATTTTATTTTTTATATTTACTTTACTTTACAAAGTAGTCGTTCTTCTGCATGTTGGTGGTCTGACGGCAGTGCCCCCCCACTGTCAAACCAATTGAGGAGGACTCTTGGATGTATGGAGTTTGCAGCCTCCTCACTTCAAGTGCGGAGTTTACCGCGTTTAAGGGGGGACATCACTCCAAAATGATCAAAAATTGCAACTTTTTTTAAATAGTTTATATTATAGACCATTCCATTCTGCGTCAAATGGTGAAAACCGCATCCCGGAATTCAAATAATTGCAGTTTTAGTAGGTTGTGCGCCGCAAACATGCATAGGGGAAAAGCCCAGTTTCCCCAACTTCGATCGCGTTTTTCTCGGAACATGAAATTGCAAACGGTTGCAGGCCTCTAGGGCGCAGTTTTTGAGCTACAGCGGGGAGATTTAGCATGAAAGCTCCTACGATATGCCGCTATGGTGGGTAGCAAAATAATTTGCATTGGTCAATTTTTATTATTTTTTCAACGTTTAAAATTGAACAATTTTGACCAATAAAAATTAACAATATTTTTTGGTCTGTAACAAACACAACTTAAAATGATTTTTTAAATGTGATTGAGGTACCCACCATAGCCAGACATCTCAGGAAGGCTGTCACCAAATTTCAATGTTCTAGGTCAAACCGTTTGGCGTCCAGCGCTGCAACAGTGCGAAATGGTCTAACCTAACCCTCAAAAATGTGTTTTCAGCGAAAGCGCTGTACTGCCCTGGCGGATTGACTTTGTGTTGTTTTATACTTTATCTGTTAAAATATGAACAATTTTTCTCTTTCCGTTTGGTTTTTATGACGTTTTTACAAAAGCACTGTTTTTGGAGTGATGTCCCCCCTTAAACGCGAGCAATTGCTCCATGTGCCAAGGAGACAACGGCTCTGCGAGCTACGTGGAGTAGCTCACAGAGTGCCTGCCTCTTGGCATGGAGCAACCGTGGAGATCTCCCCACTTGAAGTGAGGAGACTCCAAACTCTGCACCTCCAAGTGCGGACATTGCAAATTCCGCACCTCCGCAGTTCAAGTGTGAAGTTCTCAACACCTGGTTTCACACTGTGATGTTCTTGTTAGAACTGAATGTTGTGATCATTGTTAGTTAACGAATGTTCTTTTAATTTCGATTCATACTCTTCTGTTTGAGTGTTTCACAGTGCAACCAACCAACTCCGCTAACGCCCTGTCCATGTTTCCTTTTGCAGGATGCCCGCTCTGCCCTGATCGCTCCGCCGCCTTTCTGCGCTGCCCACTGCACTGTCAACTGCAGTGTCCACCGGCACCGCCAGGCCCCGCCAGGCGCCGCCACCAAGACCAAGCTCGCGAAGGAGTTCGTGGGGCCATGTAGCCTGTGTTCCCCAGAACGCCTTGACGTGTTTTTTTTTCGAGTTTTTAAAGGTTTTTATTTCACCCCAAATAGTAACCAGTTGTGCAAAGTCTTAATTAGCTACGTTTACACGTTTTACTCGCACGCCTAAAACAAACTTAGTTGTTAATTAATTTTGCGCTATGATTGTCCTGGCTTGTTTTGTTCTTATGTGGATTATAGGCGCAGTAGGCACTATATGGTATATTATTTACCATTTTATTGATACTGCCATTCCGTAACCGCTTGGGAGGTCGACTTTACAAGGGGTGGGGGTGACTTTGCAAAAAAAAAGGGGGTGGGCTGGGTTTTGCTGACCTATAATCAGCAGCCCCTCCGCGGGCGGGCCCTGGGGTCTACGAGGGCGGGAGTTCCTCAGACCTGCAGCCAGGCCAGGTGCCCTTGCCCTGCGGCGCCTTGAAGCGGCCTGAGGCCTAACACCGCCTACGCTGCATCAGCACCCAGTGAGTACTGCGGTACTACGCTCGAGGGGTCGACAACTCCCATATTACCTCGTACGCGGAGCTATGTTGCCTCTGAATTACCTTATATAGCACCTGTACTGCCACACATTTAATTGATTTGCCTGTTTCTAACCTAACCTAACACTTAATTTTGCCGTACTGAACCATGGTATCAAGCTGAAGCTTCTCATTGCGACAGGAAGAAGTTCGGATTTGATGTCCGTACTCAACCTAACACGAAGACGCTCAAAACACTTGTCGGATAGGTTGCATCGGGCTGCATACCTTGCATGTGACAGAGGGCTCTCTTTCGCATCATACCAGAATTCTACTTAGAACTCATGATTTTTCATCTTTTTTTCATCTTCTTTTCTCATTTTATAACCTTATATTACCCTATGTTACTTATATTGCCGGTAATATTTATTTCCTCGTACGCGGCTCGAGGAAGTTGTCGACCCCGCGACTACGCCACACCCTCCTTCCAGGAGCGTGACATCACAGTCAAAATGCCAAGCAAAACGCTCGTTGCGGCTCGAGGAAGTTGTCGACCCCGCGACTACGCCACACCCTCCTTCCAGGCGCGTGACATCACAGTCAAAATACCAAGCAAAACGCTCGTTGTGGCTCGAGGAAGTTGTCGACCCCGCGACTACGCCACACCCTCCTTCCAGGAGCGTGACATCACAGTCAAAATACCAAGCAAAACGCTCGTTGCGGCTCGAGGAAGTTGTCGACCCCGCGACTACGCCACACCCTCCTTCCAGGAGCGTGACATCACAGTCAAAATGCCAAGCAAAACGCTCGTTGTGGCAGTGTCACATTCGATTGGACTCCACTGTCGGGGACAACTGGTACGGAGTGACACTCCACACTTGGACGCGTGGAGTTTGCAGTCTCCGCACTTCAAGTGTGGAGTGGCTCACAGATATCCCATATCTTGGCGTGTTGCAAACGGTGAGAACTCCAAACCCTGGGGACTGCACAAACTCTGCACTGGTAGCTCACCGGAGCCCACCGAGCCCCTGTCCCGTGGCATATGGAGCAAACGTGGGTAACTCCACTCTTGAAGTGTGGGGACTGCAAACTCTGCATTTTCAAGTTTTGCATACCTTTTCCACACCTCCGCATTTCAAGTGTGAAGTTGATTTCTCAGTGTAATCACCCACACGTTAACTTATTCACACCTAAACGAAAGTGACACAATGCTCAATGGGGCGTGGCATGCTGTCACGCTCGCCTGAGCGCCATATCACGCTCCTGGAATGAGAGTGTACACTGTTAACTCTGGCGTGCACTGGAGGGTGGCCCGGAAGACCCCCAAAAGTGTACTTTATGGTTCAATTGTTTGGTCACTCCCTTGAAAATCAAAGAATTTTTTACCCCAAAAGTAGCCTTCTGCCCAAGAGCAATTCCCCATCCATGCCCAAGAGCGTTTCCGCCCAAAAGCGCGTTTTTGCCAAGGGCATTTCGAATCCATTTTCGGTTTCCACCTCGCTCTTGTTAGGCACAGTTTGTAGGGAGACAGTAGCGATATGCAGGGACGTCCGCTGCCACTCACCTGGCCACTGCAGGCTGATTCCGAGAGTCGTCTTCGTCGCTCTGCCTCCCCCGCACTCATGGGGCGCCCCGTATCGGTGCGAGAGAGGCAGAGCGGCCAAATTACCAACGCTCGAAATGAGCCCGCTGCATGGCGGCAGCGGAGCGTGTTGCTGTCGGGCACGGGACTGGCGGCTTGTCTCGCCCTGCAGCCCCGGAGCTTCCAGCGCTTCCAGTTCTTCAGCCAATGAGCAGAGAGCACGCTAACGCACTCGGCCCTCGACAGGAACACGGCCCAAGCCGCCAACATGGGACCTGCCACGTGGGCCGACACTGGCAGCTCTGCAGGACCGATTCCGAGACTCGTATGCGTCGCTGTCTCTCTCGCACTCACGCAGCGTGCCGTAGGTGAGAGAGAGACAGATCGACGAAAACGACTCTCGGAATCGGTCTGCTGGCGCTTCCTGATCTGTAGTCGAGCGAGCGTCCGCTGCCCGCGCTCGTCGCTCTGTCTCCCTCGCACTCGTGGGGTGTGCCGTAGGGGTGCGAGAGAGACAGAGCGAGGAGAGTGGGCAGCGTAATCGCTCGACAGGTGAAAAGGGTGGAGGGCGCCTCTGGATTTTCAGGGGCAGGCAGGCGCGGATCCACGGGAGATAGGGGGGCCAGTTATCCCTCCTCCTTGGACACTGGACGGGCCACCCTGGGAGGTGGATAAAGATCGTTGATTTGCTTCCGTAATTCGGCGAAAAGCATTTCAACAGTCCTGGGTCCGCGCCTGGTGGAGGCATAGGGGCTGGGCCTGGCTTGCGCGTCCGCAGATCCGGTAGCAGGATGCACGCACAGGGCGTTGCCGAACCAAGTTCAAACTTTGCCGTTTTGCCTCTCTAACAAGATAACTCTGTCTCGCTTGCAGTCTGACGTGTCCGGCCAGAGCGTCGCGGCCGATAGACTCCCCCAGTCAATGGCCTCGAGCTGGCTCTGACTCTCTCTGTCTCGCTCGCAGCCTTAGGGACCGCTTGACGCGTCCCGCAGCGCGAGGACTCCGCCGGCACCTTCGCGATGGCGGCCCCCATCCCGAGGCCCATCTTCGACTTCCCGTTCGAGACGGTGGCCAACGCCGAGCCGCTCCGCCTGCTGCACAACGAGGCCGAGGGCGACGTGGAGTTCGTGGTGGGCCCCGACGGGGACACCTGGCGCATCGTCGGCCACCGCGACGTGCTCTCCGGCAGCTCGCCCGTCTTCAAGGCCATGCTCACCGGGCCGCTCGCCCACGAGGGCAGGGTGCGCATCTACGACGTGGACGGCCGCGCCTTCTTCCAGCTGCTCGTGTAAGTCGCTCTGGTCCACGGTGGATTCGGGTGGATTCGGGTGGATTTGCCGGAAGACCGGCGGAGGCGGCCGAAACTCGAGACGCGTTTTGAGCTCCAGAGTCGCTAAACAGGACTCGAACCGAACGTGTGACCCCACCAATGGATTCCTCGTTCGGAGAGCAATCCATTGGTGGGGTCACTCGCTTGGTTCGAGACCTATCTAGCGACTCTGCAGCGCGAAACGCGTCCGGGATTTTGACCGCCACCACCGGTCTTCGGGTCCGCTGTAGAATGTGTCGCCATTTGCGTCCCGTTCGGGCGGCTGTCTGGTTCCAAAACGGGAGCAAGGCTCTTGATACTCAAAATACTGCTACTTTTGCAACTCGTCCCTTTGCCATGCCGCAGAGTCCTGTACGGCGGCGAGCCCGACAAGATGCGCTCCGAGCGCGCCTGCATGGTCACCATGTACGCCGCCAACAAGTACCTGTGCGGCAAGCTGTTCCTGCACTGCGTGGTGGCGGCCGACAGCTTCCTCCTCCCCTGCAACGTGCTGCGCTTCATGCAGACCGCGCGCATCTACATCCCGGACAACATGGACGTGGACGCCACCTTCAGCCCCACCGCGCCGCCTCTGGAGGACAGGTGGGCCGGGCGTCGCGTCGCGCCGACACTGTGAAGCCGAGGGTGGACAACTCCACACGTGAAGTGCGGGGGTGCGGAACTTGCAGTCTCCGCACTTGCAAGTGCCGAGTTTGCTGACTGCATGCAGTCTCCCTCCACACTGCAAGTGCCGAGTTTGGTAACTGCATGCAGTCTCCCTCCACACTGCAAGTGCCGAGTTTGCTGACTGCATGCAGTCTCCCTCCACACTGCAAGTGCCGAGTTTGGTAACTGCATGCAGTCTCCCTCCACACTGCAAGTGCCGAGTTTGCTGACTGCATGCAGTCTCCCTCCACACTGCAAGTGCCGAGTTTGCTGACTGCATGCAGTCTCCCTCCACACTGCAAGTGCCGAGTTTGGACTGCATGCAGTCTCCCTCCACACTGCAAGTGCCGAGTTTGGTAACTGCATGCAGTCTCCCTCCACACTGCAAGTGCCGAGTTTGCTGACTGCATGCAGTCTCCCTCCACACTGCAAGTGCCGAGTTTGGTAACTGCATGCAGTCTCCCTCCACACTGCAAGTGCCGAGTTTGCTGACTGCATGCAGTCTCCCTCCACACTGCAAGTGCCGAGTTTGGTAACTGCATGCAGTCTCCCTCCACACTGCAAGTGCCGAGTTTGCTGACTGCATGCAGTCTCCCTCCACACTGCAAGTGCCGAGTTTGCTGACTGCATGCAGTCTCCCTCCACACTGCAAGTGCCGAGTTTGCTGACTGCATGCAGTCTCCCTCCACACTGCAAGTGCCGAGTTTGCTGACTGCATGCAGTCTCCCTCCACACTGCAAGTGCCGAGTTTGGTACTGCATGCAGTCTCCCTCCACACTGCAAGTGCCGAGTTTGCTGACTGCATGCAGTCTCCCTCCACACTGCAAGTGCCGAGTTTGCTGACTGCATGCAGTCTCCCTCCACACTGCAAGTGCCGAGTTTGCTGACTGCATGCAGTCTCCCTCCACACTGCAAGTGCCGAGTTTGCTGACTGCATGCAGTCTCCCTCCACACTGCAAGTGCCGAGTTTGCTAACTGCATGCAGTCTCCCTCCACACTGCAAGTGCCGAGTTTGGTAACTGCATGCAGTCTCCCTCCACACTGCAAGTGCCGAGTTTGGTAACTGCATGCAGTCTCCCTCCACACTGCAAGTGCCGAGTTTGGTAACTGCATGCAGTCTCCCTCCACACTGCAAGTGCCGAGTTTGGTAACTGCATGCAGTCTCCCTCCACACTGCAAGTGCCGAGTTTGGTAACTGCATGCAGTCTCCCTCCACACTGCAAGTGCCGAGTTTGGTAACTGCATGCAGTCTCCCTCCACACTGCAAGTGCCGAGTTTGGTAACTGCATGCAGTCTCCCTCCACACTGCAAGTGCCGAGTTTGCTGACTGCATGCAGTCTCCCTCCACACTGCAAGTGCCGAGTTTGCTAACTGCATGCAGTCTCCCTCCACACTGCAAGTGCCGAGTTTGCTAACTGCATGCAGTCTCCCTCCACACTGCAAGTGCCGAGTTTGGTAACTGCATGCAGTCTCCCTCCACACTGCAAGTGCCGAGTTTGCTAACTGCATGCAGTCTCCCTCCACACTGCAAGTGCCGAGTTTGCTGACTGCATGCAGTCTCCCTCCACACTGCAAGTGCCGAGTTTGGTAACTGCATGCAGTCTCCCTCCACACTGCAAGTGCCGAGTTTGGTAACTGCATGCAGTCTCCCTCCACACTGCAAGTGCCGATTTGGTAACTGCATGCAGTCTCCCTCCACACTGCAAGTGCCGATTTTGGTAACTGCATGCAGTCTCCCTCCACACTGCAAGTGCCGAGTTTGGTAACTGCATGCAGTCTCCCTCCACACTGCAAGTGCCGAGTTTGGTAACTGCATGCAGTCTCCCTCCACACTGCAAGTGCCGAGTTTGGTAACTGCATGCAGTCTCCCTCCACACTGCAAGTGCCGAGTTTGGTAACTGCATGCAGTCTCCCTCCACACTGCAAGTGCCGAGTTTGGTAACTGCATGCAGTCTCCCTCCACACTGCAAGTGCCGAGTTTGGTAACTGCATGCAGTCTCCCTCCACACTGCAAGTGCCGAGTTTGGTAACTGCATGCAGTCTCCCTCCACACTGCAAGTGCCGAGTTTGGTAACTGCATGCAGTCTCCCTCCACACTGCAAGTGCCGAGTTTGGTAACTGCATGCAGTCTCCCTCCACACTGCAAGTGCCGAGTTTGGTAACTGCATGCAGTCTCCCTCCACACTGCAAGTGCCGAGTTTGCTGACTGCATGCAGTCTCCCTCCACACTGCAAGTGCGGAGTTTGCTGACTGCATGCAGTCTCCCTCCACACTGCAAGTGCGGAGTTTGCTGACTGCATGCAGTCTCCCTCCACACTGCAAGTGCGGAGTTTGCTAACTGCATGCAGTCTCCCTCCACACTGCAAGTGCCGAGTTTGCTAACTGCATGCAGTCTCCCTCCACACTGCAAGTGCCGAGTTTGGTAACTGCATGCAGTCTCCCTCCACACTGCAAGTGCCGAGTTTGCTGACTGCATGCAGTCTCCCTCCACACTGCAAGTGCGGAGTTTGCTGACTGCATGCAGTCTCCCTCCACACTGCAAGTGCCGAGTTTGCTAACTGCATGCAGTCTCCCTCCACACTGCAAGTGCGGAGTCCTCTGCCTAGAGATAGAGGCTCTGTGAGCTACTCCACAGTTGCAGTGTGGAGAACTACTACGCACCAGGAAGCGAGGAGTTCTCCACACTTGGCACGACAGTGTTGCGACTTGCCGCTAACGCTTTGCCTTGGTGTTGCAGTGAGGCGGACAGGGACTCGGTGCACGTGCAGGTGGTGGCCGAAGTGATGAACGAGCAGGGCGCCCAGGACGGCGAGGGCGGCCTCTACAGCCAGTACAGCCCGGACGCCGCCGCGAAGGGCGAGGCCGGCGAGGCCGTGGCGACCGGCATGGCCGTGGTGGCCCGTGCGGTCGGCGGGGACGGCGGGGCCGGCGTGGCCGGTGCGGCCGGCGGGGCTGGCGGGGCCAGAGCGGCCGGCGTGGCCTCCCGGTCGCCGCCGTTGTCGCCGGTGGTGCTGGAAATCGAGAGGGGCTCCTGGGGCGTGGAGGTGCCGGCGCGTGAGGTCAGCCCCCCTAGTTCGCCCTGGAGGCGGCCCGTCGTGGAGCTCGGGCCGTCGCCCGTCAACAGCTTCCCCGACCCCAACCAGGAGTCCAACATGGGGTGGTACGCCGCCGCGCTCTACTGGAACTGCCTGCAGCTGATCGACGCGTACGCCGACGACGTCCTGGAGTCCGATTGCGTAAGTGTGCCTCCCTCTGCGGTCCAGGGCGTGAGGGCGTGGAGGGCGCCTGAAGCCTGGGCCGGCCCGCCACGCGCCAGCGCGCTGCGGGCCGGCCCGCCGCCACGGCGCTACTCCGGCGATACCCCGCGCGGCAGCGTAGCTCGCGCACCGCGCGACGCTGCCGCTGTACCCCGCGGATGAGGCGATACCCCCTGCCTGCGCGGTGCGCGCTTCGCACCGTGGACCTTAAGAGGATATGGTACACCTCCCCAGAAGCGGCATTTCCAGGGACGCGCAGGGACCTCTTTCTAACGCCGTCCTGGCGACACCGTTCGAGGTATCGATATGAAACTTGACACACGGGCTCAGAAGGGATCAATCTCAATGACGGTGCGTCCAAAAAAATTTTTGAACGCCTAAGTTAGGCCCCAGGGCAGTCCAGTTCTGGTCCAACTTTCGTTCACAACAAGTCCTAAGAAAATTGGAATATCCAAAAAAGGGCCACGGCACGTTGTAGCTGCAACTTTGCTCTATCCAGAGAACTTGTCCCCATCTGCGTGCGGTCAAAAATAGAGATCAAAACCTGGTAGACGGCGGACCTCTGCACGGCGGGTTTGGAGCTAGTCGGAGAGAGGAGGTGCAATATTTGTGCCGACGAGCTGTACCGTCTCCAAGCCCCGCACATGTTGTCGCCGACTTTGTTTCACTGAATGGGGACTGTCGGGCTGCCCACCCTCACCCGAGAGGTTCGGCACCGTGACAGGTCGATTTATGGCTCTAGGCTGTACGGCCAAACTTTTAAAAGGGGACATTTTCTAGTTTTGAAACTTGTACGAAGATGTTTGGCGTGCTATTCTGGTGACAGGCAACTAAAATTTCAGTTTCTACGACCATTTGACCCGGACCTGTTGAAACAATGACAAAGGTCAAAATTATCGTAGAAAATTAAAATTTGATTCGCCTGGCACAAGGAACACGCGCTGAGTGCAATGGTTCATGTCCTGATAGTCTAGAGTCATCCGTTCAAAAATTTAACTCTCGGAGTACAAGGCCATAAATCGAGCCGTCACGCTGCCGACCCTCGGCTCCGGCGCGTGAATGAGGAGGGGGCCAGCGGGGGGCCCGGCGCAGAGACAAAGCAGCGGGCTGCAGGCGGGTCGCCCGGAGGGGTGGGCGGGGGGAGGCGGGGTTAGTAGAGCTCGTCTGCGACAGTGCCTTTTCAAAACTTCGCAAGATGTTCAAATCCGCCGTGCAGAGGTCCGCCGTCTACCAGGTTTTGATCTCTATTTTTGACCGCACGCAGATGGGGACAAGTTCTCTGGATAGAGCAAAGTTGCAGCTACAACGTGCCGTGGCCCTTTTTTGGATATTCCAATTTTCTTAGGACTTGTTGTGAACGAAAGTTGGACCAGAACTGGACTGCCCTGGGGCCTAACTTAGGCGTTCAAAAATTTTTTTGGACGCACCGTCATTGAGATTGATCCCTTCTGAGCCCGTGTGTCAAGTTTCATATCGATACCTCGAACGGTGTGGCCAGGACGGCGTTAGAAAGAGGTCCCTGCGCGTCCCTGGAAATGCCGCTTCTGGGGAGGTGTACCATATCCTCTTAAGAGCCACGCGGGCACGTACCGCACGTACGCGTGCAGCGGGGTGGCGAAAGCTACTGTCGTGGGCATGGTCCTTCTAAAGTGAGGCGGCTCAAAATTCCACGCCTCCGCATCTCGAGTATCGAGTTCCCCGCGCTTGGTTTCTCAGTGAGATTACAGTGCGCCAGCCCTTTAGGTCACGTGGCTGTTGAGGGATATGTCAGTGGCGTTACTGCAGGGAGACACGTTGTCCTGTCTGCGCAGATCGAGGAGCTGTCGCTGGCGGACCTGCTGATGCTGCTGCGCCGCCCCACACTGCACGTGCGTCGGGAGTCGCGCGTGTACGGCGCCCTGGAGCGCTGGGCCAACCGGGACTGCCGGCGCCGCGGCCTGCACGCCTCGCCGGAGAACCGGCGCGCCGCGCTGGGCGAGGCCCTGTTCCTGGTGCGCTACCTGCGCATGTCGGTGCGCGAGCTGCTGGAGACGGTGCAGCACGGCGTGCTCAACAACTTCGAGACGGCCTGGCTGCTGGGCAAGGCGGTGGGCGACCAGGCCAAGGTGCTGCCCAACTCGATCGAGGACTTCCACCCGCCGGAGACCTTCCGCCCGCACGCGCGCCTGCTGGCCGTGCTGCGGCCCATCCCACGGCCCTGGTGCGTACCGCCGCGCACCGCGCAGTGCTCTGTCTCTCTCGCACTCGAGGCCCGTCTCGTTGAGGTGCGAGAGAGACAGAGCGGCGAGAACGATTCTCGGAATCAGTGTGCTGGTCGCTGGACCGCTTTTGGCTCGACACGTTTCTGCACACTTGGACGTGTGGCGTTTGCAGCCGGCACACTTCAAGTGTGGAGAAGCTTGTACCAGAGAGTCCCCATCTCTTGGGATGGCGCACACTTGGAGAACTCCACACTTGAAGAGTGGAGACTGCAGACTGCATTTCCCAGTGCGGAGACTGCCACACCTCCGCCTTCGAAACGTGGAGTCCTCTCACTCAGTTACACAGTGTCCCTCCGCGTCTCGCTGACGTGCCCCCACCCCTTGAAGAGTGGAGACTGCAGACTGCATTTCCCAGTGCGGAGACTGCCACACCTCCGCGTTCGAAACGTGGAGTCCTCCTCACTCAGTTACACAGTGTCCCTCCGCGTCTCGCTGACGTGCCCCCACCCCTTTGTTGCAGCTTCATCCAGCTGAGCCCCCGCTGCGTGTACGAGATCCCGGGCTTCCACGACGAGGGCACCATGACGGACTGGAGCTGGCCGATGCAGACGACCGAGGCCGAGCTGAAGGGGCAGATCAAGGTCCTCAAGAAGATCCTCAAGGCCCACAGGAAGGCGATAAAGCGGCAGCGGAGGCAGCGCCAGCAGCCCGAGGATGACAGCGGACGGCGGCGGGAGTACAGCTCTGGCTGCTTTGTGCAGGGCTTCTTCTCCGTGCTGGCCTGCATATTCGACTGACAACGACAGGACCCTGGCCGTCGCGACCTCATCGCCCTCCGTGGCCCCCGACTCGACGAAAGCGCCCACCGCATCCAAGTCGACCTGAGCCCCCGCCACCTCCAACTCGAACGCGTCGACAGCCCACGCCGCGGCCGGCAACGCGACGGGAGCCCCCCTCGCCGCCAAAGCCACCGTGGCACGCGCGCAGCGCGCATCATGTTGCTTGTTTTGGTTGTTTACTTTTTCGTTTACTGGATCTTCCTCATGATCCTCTTTCAACGAACGTTCCTCCCCAAGCTTTTCTCCGGCTCCCGGCTTCTAGGCGTTCTCCGCATGTGAGGGCGAGGACGCGGAGGGCGCTTCGCTGTGCCTCGCTGTGCTTCGCTCGGGCCGACAGCAGACTGATTCCGAGAGTCGTTTCCTCCGCCGTGTCTCTCCCGCACCTGTACGGGACGTTCATGGAGGCGTGAGAAAGACTACCTCCACGCCCCGCCCCGTGAGTGCGAGGGAGGCAGGGCGACGGAAACGACTCTTTGGGTCAGTTTGCTGGCCGACGGGAAGCGGAGCGGAGACTTGGGGGAATTCCCTCCCGGGCCGCCGCGCCCCAAGGTCCACTGGCCGAGCTTCAAGTCGCTGCGGAGTGTTTTTAGTGGGGCACTCTTGCAGCGCAGCGTTATACTTAACCCACTGCCTTTCTGTGATTCTATTGTTTTCTTCATTGTGTCCATCTTTTTGTTTTTGACTGATAATTTTAATTTTATGAAAACGTATTTTCCGTTACTTTAAGTTTAGTTTGTAGTAGGCTCTTACTTTTACTTTCAATGAAATTTATGGACCACTTGTCTAAGCGCACAAGCGCGTGATTTAATTGTTGAGGGAATTTGTTGGTCTTTGTTCTGTCTGAGGATAGAATTGTCGAATTGGTCTGATTAGTGACGGTCTGTCTTTGCGCGAAAGTGGACTGTAACATTTATGTTGTGAAGGTATTAAGTTGCAATTGACTCTCTCTCAAATACATTCTTATAACTTGTAATTAGTAGTTTTGTTTTTATCATTATTTTTGTTATAATCTTTTTATTGTATTTTCATTCAAGATCACTGTATCTTAAATTTGGGAGGAAGAAAAAAGATTATGTAGCGTAGAGTAATGTAATGCCTGATTTTGGTTGTCTTCACCGAAATACTTTTAGATTCAATCCAAACTCTTCCTCTTTCAAAGGAAAGACATATGAACTTATAAATAACTATTATCTTGATCTATTAAGATCAAAAGCCAAAACGTTAACGGTTCTCTACATATGTTCTCAAGATCTTGGTCTACCTAGAATCAACTTGAGTTCAAATAGTGTACAGTGTGTGTATTCTTGAAATCTTGATGTTTTTGTTAAAAAATGAAATAGTAGTGTTTGTGCTCTTCTTGTCCTATCTAAACCATCATTTGTTTTAATGGTCTACTGCATGTGTGTTCTTAAAATATTTTTCTATGGAAACCTAGCTTTTGTTCAAATGAAACCACGTGAGTATATTTAACATCTTGTTCTATCCAGAGTCAACCTTCATTCAAATTATGTGTAGTTGTGTGCATTTTTAAAAATCTTCTTATGAGGAGGCAACTTTTGTTTCAATGGGTTGGTCTATCGAGAAACAATCTTTCGTGCAACTGATGTACAGCGTGTGTATTCTTAAAATCTTGGTTTACAAACACAATTTTCTTCAAACTGTATTCATTATATGTGTATTCTTAAAATCTTGATTTATCATGAATCAAGTTTTGGTCTAATAGTATTCGACATTGAGTGTTATTATGTAGTGTTTTCAACCAAGTGGTTTCTAATTTTTGAATTGTTTTATCGTTAAATGCAATTCACATTGCATATTGGACTCAAATGGTGCTTGTTGGTAGATTGGATATAGTATATCATGTATGCATTTGTGGCAAAGCAACTGCTGTAGGGTGTCAAGCTTTACGCATGATGTTTTATTAGGATGTTTGAATTAAATTTTCTCTTGTAGCCTCTCTTGAGATCCTTGAAATTATGTTGTTTGAAGCCCTGCTTAAAAGAATTTGTTTCAATAGCATGTGAATGTTGCCAAAGAAGGAAAATTTAGTGATTAATGTTGTCTGAGAATTAAGTCATGTACTATCTGATCTCAGGCTGAAATTGCCTTTCTTGTCCAGAACAATTAGATCTGAAGATCTCACGGTTAAAGCAGTAGATGTGTATTTTGTGAATGTGTTGTTTAATGTCTTTACAGAGATTTGGTGCTGGCACCAGCAGATTGTTTATTTTCCGATCAGAAAAATTGTTAACAATTGGATATTGCACTGTTAGTTTTGGAAATCTCTTAAAGTTGTTATTTTTTAAATTATTCACAAGCTATGCCTTCTGAAATGTTCTCCAAGTATAGACCATATTAATTTTATGATTAAGTTCAGTTTGATTTATTGCACTGTTACAGCCCATTTAATCTAGGATCAATCAAGAGAAACTTGTTTTGTATAAATTAATGTGTATTTTACATTGTTTTTGTGTTTGTAGTATTCAGTATGTTACAACAATATCGCAGATAATAGAATTTATTATAATATAACCAAAATATTTTTTGAAAGTGAAACAGAATTCTAGAGATTGTTTCAAGTGAAATGACTTGCTGTGAAGCACACATTGCCTTGTAGGCAAGATTAGTCGAGATTTGTTTTCTCGTGTGCAGATGAGATAAAGAGTCAGATAATAGCGTTGAATCTGTGTCAGTATTTTAAAATTGATCATACCAACTACAAAAGGACTTCTTTGTTAGTACATGCTGGTACATGCTATAAAATCCCAATAGTTAAAAGTCAAAAGCCATGTTGTGCAGCATTATAGTTGCCTTGTAGGCATCAGATAAGCTTTTGAATGATTCAGATTTATCATTGTTGGATCAGTGTCAGTGTTTAGAAAACCTCAAAAGAAATAATTTATGAAAAATAACAAAAATATCTTTTTTTAAAAGTATTGCAGCCTTTTGGATAGTTATAAGTCAGATAGTGTCATAGAAATGGAACAGTGTTCTAGGTTGTTATAATTTTGAATCATTGTTAAGTCAGTGTTAGTATGTTTAAATATGACAAATGAAAAAACCTTAGTTTCAAATAACCAAAATATTAGCAAAAATATTTTTTTTAAGTGATAAAATCATTTAGGATTATCAATTGTGAAATGAGGTGTTGTGGAGTTCCTACACCATGCATGGTGTGTAAAGATGAGACTACATTTAGATCGATTTATATGATTGTGTATCATTGGTGAGTGAGGAAGTGTCAGTATGAAATGTATCACAGACAAAAAAACTTGCTAAAAAACAAAAAAAAAATTTTTTTGTCAGCATGATAATTTATAAAATCCTTGGGATTGTTTTAAGTGAAATGTCATGTTCTGAAGCACATGTTGTCTGCTGTGCAGATGAGAGAAGGTTTATATAATTGTAAATCATGGGTGAGTCAGTGTCAGTTGAGGATAGAATCATAAATTTAAAAAACCACTTCCTGAAAGTGCATAAACTATCTAGTCAAGTATTACGTGGTATTTTGATCTTGATCCAGTCACATTCGTCCCCAACGCTTCTCCTGTCTATCGTAGCCTTTGTAGTTGAGGGAAAAGAAACTTGTGTAAAACCGCAAGGAGTTTGTAGGCAGACTATTGTTGTCTTGTTAAATGGAGTTGGAAGGCACACTACTCTTGTCTTAGCGAATGGAGACTGAAGACACACTATTTTTGTCTTGCAGAACGGATTTTATTCATCAATAAAAAACATTGAAAAATAAACAAAAATCTGACTTTTTTCTGACCTGTTCACGTCGTCACCGAGTGTGGCAGGAGTGTCGATGGTTGAAGGGGCGGGATGAGCGCGACTGTCCGTCCCTTCGCGAGGAAGTGTCCGGGGGAACGCCCAGAGCAGCCCAGGGCCACTTTGTGAGGCAAGGGGTATGCCCGCGGGGGATTGTGCGCGCGGGGTAGCGCCAGTGCAGCCAGCCGCAGGTCCTCGGGGCGAGGGGTAGCGCCACCCTGGGGCGCGGCGTGTGGGCACGCAGACACGCGGGATGAACAGGCGCGCGGCGAGGAAGGCTCTGCCTTCGGAAACTCAATCTGTCCAGTCAGCAGCAGAACGCTCTCCCGAACCTAGCCACTCACCGACCACACCGGGTCCTCGGCTTCAAACGCCTCCAGACACTCCGACAGCCTTCGCGCTTCGCGCCCCAATCCGCCTCTCCATCAAGAAGCTCCGCACAGTCTAACATATTTTTGGGGCTCAACGCACGTATACCCGGCTAGAAGTTATTGTTTTAGTTGCATTTTATAGCGCCATCGAACTTGGGACCCTCCTCTGTCCCGGCTGAGTTACGGGCCGCAGAAACTTCCCACTCTTGTACTGAACAAGCAAGCGAAGCCTGCGGAGCCCGAGAAGCCAGCGCCTCCCCGCCGAGCTTGCTTGCTCCTGGCCGTTCCAGCTCCGCAAACTGCTCTCGCCATCCGGCCTCTCTCTCTCTCTCTCTCTCTCTCTCTCTCTCTCTCTCTCTCTCTCTCTCTCTCTCTCTCTCTCTCTCTCTCTCTCTCTCTCTCTCTCTCTCTCTCTCTCTCTCTCTCTCTCTCTCTCTCTCTCTCTCTCTCTCTCTCTTGTTTTACTAGTTTATTTCTTGTTTTACTAGTTTATTTCTTGTTTTACTAGTTTAATGTTATAGTTACTTAAGAGGGCGGGTCTACATGCCCAGTGGTGCTTCTTAGCACTTTCATGTAAACCCTTAAAAACAATAAATCAAATCAAATCAAATCTCACTCTCTCTCGCTCTCTCTCGCTCTCTCTCGCTCTCTCTCTCTCGCTCTCGCTCTTCCTCGCTCTCTCTCGCCCTCAGCAGCTGCCGCGGCTCCTCGATCTCTCTTCTCTCTCCGCGAGGGGCCCATTCGTCAATTAAGTGACGATGTTTTCTCCCCTCCCCCTCCCCACTGATTCCGAGAGTCGTTTTCGTCGCTCTGTCTCTCTCGCACCCATACGGAACGCCTGCGCCGTGCGAGAGAGACAGAGCGACGAAGACGACTCTCGGAATCAGTCTGCTGCTCGCGGCGTCTCGCTCAATCCGCCCCGTGGCGGGGAAGTGCCCCATTAAAGTGGCACCTGCCCCGCCCCGCCCCGCCCCGCCTTGTCCGACCCGCGATTAGCGCGGCAGCGACAGCAGCAGCCCGAGTCGGGGCGGGGCGGGGCGGGGGTTGGCCCGACGTAACGAACTGAACATAACCTAAGTTAACTTGATTAGCGTTCGCAACTTTGCATATTCTCGGAGGCACCGCCGCGGCGCGGGGCGGCGCGGGGCTTGCCGGCGGACGGGATATATTAGTTTTCCTGTTTTGCAGCTCGCGTCCTCTGTCTCTGCAGTGCCGTGGCCGCGCTGCCGCGCTCTCCAGACCCGCCCCCTTCGCCAGTCGCCGCCTTCGTCGCCGCGCGCCTTGCTGCCGCAGACTCGTCCCGAGAGTCGTTTTCCGTCGCGCTGTCTCTCTCGCACCCATACGGCACGCCCCATGGGTGCGAGAGAGACAGAGCGACGAGGAAGACTCTCGGAATGAGTCCGCTGGCCGCGCGCCTTGCCGCCGCCGCCACGCCGCGCGCTCGCGTCTAAGGACCGGAAGTAAGGGAAGTCCCCGCTTCTGCGGCGGGGACGCGGGAACGCGGGAACGGACGACTCTTTTGCAGAGAAAATAAACGACGCACCGACGGTCGACCCGAAAGACCCGAAAACGGACTGAAAAGGATTCCGTTTTATCCCCGCCGCCGCCACCCAGCAGCGCGGCATCGCGGCGGTCCGACCCGCGCACAGTGGGGCAGCAGACCGGTGGAGGTGGCCCAAATTCTCGACGCGTTTTAAGCTCCAGAGTCGCTTAACGGAACTAGAACCGAACGTGTGACCCCACCAATGGATTGCTCGTTTGCTCGATTGCTCATTGGTGGGGTCACAAGCGCGGTTCGAGCCCCAGTTAGCGACTCTAGAGCCCAAAACGCGTC